CACACACACACACACACACACACACACACACACACACACACACACACACACACACACACACTCTTAAGCCATCTCCTGGTTGTGGAGGGCGAGGGACTCACCTTCAAGACAAGAGTCTGTGGGGGGACCTAACGCGACAGACACCAACCTAAATATGTGGCCAAGATGCTCTGATTCCTCACCCATACCCCGCCCAGCTCAGTTGTGAGTTCTTTATCTCTAGCCTCACTCCAGAATCCACATATTCGGTTGCCAACTCCTTAAAGTCCCTCCTTTCCCCTCTTTTGGCCATAGCCTGGGGAAGCTCCTGGGGCCTGCACCATGTCCACTTCCGATCTCCCTGGTGAGGTTTGCCTGCAAAGCTAGTTGGGAGAAACAGCTCCTTCTGGTACTTTCTAGACTCTTTTCCTGGACCCATGAACACTGGGACAGAGTGAGGAGAGGCTTCAGGGATGGAGGCACCATGACTATGTCAAACGCACCCTTAGATGGCTAATGCCTAGCGACCCTGGGCTTCAGCAGGGTGGTTACAGGGTGGAGAAGGGTTCTGGGCTCTGGCAGACTGCCGTGCTTGGAGAGGGTGGTCGGGACTTACGTCTATGGAGCAGCCAAGCAGAGAGCCTTTCTGCAGAGCCTTCTGGATGATCTTGAATAAGTTGGGAGGAGGCTTCCTCAGCTCGTACCACTCAGCAATGCCTCCCGTGAAGTCCTCAAAGCCCTCAGTGGTGGCGCCGCCCGAGAGTGCTTCGTAGCACCCATTGATCCTGAAGGAGGCAGATTTGTGCTGCCACTCTCTGCCTTGGTGCCGCCAACCATGCGCCCTCATCCCTGAGAGCGCCATCTCACTCCAACTCGGATCCGCTCCCCCTTCGTGGGAGCTCATGGGGGCCTCTGCTTTCATTCTGCTTGTCTTTGTCCCCAACTTGGGAAGGGAAGGCCCAGGAAGGTAAGGCACTAGCTCCCTACTCACTTTCCCCCTGTGGTTCTGCATTAGAAGTTGTACAGAACCCGGGGGCTGGAAGGACTAAGTGACAATCTAACCCACTCTGGTGTCAACTCTGCCCCTGACACAGAGAGAGGTCCCCTAACTGGCTGTTTGAAAGTCAGTGCTTAAAGGGCCATTACAGTGAGGAACCCAGCTTTCCCGAAGAGCACATAGCGGTTCCAGTGGTCACTCCTGCAGGCTTCTCCCTCAGTCCTTGAGCTCTAGGCTCCAAGTTCTCTTGGCTGAGGAAATGAAGCCTCCCCTTCCTTTCTAGCCTAGGGCTGTGGGGATCCACCAGCTCCCGTCTTAAGGCAGGAGTCCACCCGGTGGAGGTCCCCTCTGCAGAGGGCTGACATCCTGGGGGGACCCAGCACAACTCTGAGCAAGCTGGGTTAAGCCTGGCTAGGACTGGAACCGGGAAACCATTCTTAGCAGCCACATGACTTGTCCGAGATGAGTTCCTACCATCTCCCTACCTCAGCAATAGGTAGTTTTGCCTGTTGGCAAAGCTTTTTGCTCTTTTCAGTTGATGAAATGCAATGGGACCCCACCAAAGAAGCAGGGCTCCTTCTCAAGGCCAGAGCACCCAGCCCCAGAATGTTCCAGTCCACTTGCTCAAAAACAGCCATGACTGTCCTGTATCAGTACATCATGTGATCAGGCATGGTGCCCACAGTACCTCCTTGAATTAAGAGCCCGATTTGGGCCAAAGTCATCCTTTTATAGAACGGAACTTCTACTCAAAACAGTCCCCAAATAGCTCCTGCTGTTTCGGAGTCCAGGGCAGCAGGGGCAGGATAGGGTGTGGGGAAGGGTGTGGCTACTTACTTGGCATAGGCCTTCTCCAGCAGGGCACTCCAGAACTCGCTCCTCTCTGCTGAGTGCACAAAGAGCAGCTCCCCGTCCTTAGTGGGCAGCCTGTCGTCCACCACCACCTCCACCCATTCGCCATATTGCCAGAACTGCAGGCAAGGGGGAAAGAGCAGGTGGCGCTGGGATTCTGAGCCTTGGCTTCATCCGGCTCTCTCCCGCCCAGCCCCTTGTTGTAGGTTCCCATGATGCTCTTCAGTGTTCTATGTCAGGCATGCCCCTCATCAAGCAAGAGGACAGTGGAGCTTGTCTGTGTCTCCAAGGCCACACATAGCTGTTTTTAAAATAGCATCTCTCATTTCATCACAAAAAAAGCAAGTTTTTTAACCTTTTATCTCAAACCTCAAACTTATAAAAAAAACAACTTGGGGATTACTACCTGTACCCCAGTATCTACTTCCATGGACACCCCCACCCACAGCTGTCAGGCATTCTGATGGGACTCCACGTCTTGGGCAGGTTGGGAAAATCTTGTCTTTCTCTTCCAGCATCCTTTGCAAACCAGCAGGAACTGAGGAGCTGAAGAGTCAACCAAGCTGGAGAACCCTGCTGAGCCCCTGAGCCTGGGTGAGGAGGTGCCTCAGCCAGCAATTAAGTTACCTGAAAGTGGAAGATGCCTGCGTAGTTTTCCTGGAAGCTCTGATCTAGAGGCACAACCCGAGCTAGGATTTCTTCATTCAAGGTGAGGGAGGCAATGGCAGCCAGCAGCCAGCAGTCCCCTGAGAACACAAAGCCAAAAGCTCTGGTCAGGTCTTAGGCCCTGGAGGATGTTGTCTTGTTCCTGCGGCTCAGTGCTTGAAACCTAGCATTACCCTTGAGGGGATGGAATGGTGTTTCAGACATTCCTCATTTGAGGGATAGGTCACGTGGTCTGGTGGATATTTTGATGGACCTGCTGCAGAAGAAATCATGTTGGGTGGATGGCTGGTTATAAGAAGAGAGGCTCACTCTCTGAGAAACTCAGAACCCTGTGGTGGCTGAACTGTGTCCTTGGAGCCCGCCCAGCTCTGTCTGACACACAGGAGCTGTGACCATTTATGGATGAATGAACTTGACCAGGCAACAGAGGCTTCAATAAGGAGGTTTCCTTTCTTTTTTAAAATATCCTTTTAAAAAATTATTTTATGTATAGGAGTGCTCTACCTGCATGTACACCTGCATGCCAGAAGAGGGCATCAGATTACATTATAGATGGTTGTGAGCCACCATGTGATTGCTGGACTTGAACTCAGAACCTCTAGAAAAGCAGTTAGTGCTTTTAACCACTGAGCCATCTCTCCAGCACCCTTTAGGGAGGTTTTCCAGGGGAGTTTGAATGAGGAAGAAAATGCAGCAGTTGAAGGGAAGAAGCTGAACACTGCACATCTCTTAGGAGAGGGATTCGGAGACAAGGAAGGAGACGCCAGCAGGCGGCGTGAGCACCGGAGTATGCAGCAATGCAGACAGGACAGCCATGAGCCAGTATGCATGAGCCTGTACTCCCTGGGGGTTCCTGGAGTAGAAGCAGAGCTCATTTCTGACATGTGGACACAGAAGGGACTGGACAGGTAGAGGGACAACCAGATGAAGCTCTCTGAGCCTCAGGCACATCCTTTGTGAAGGAGAACATATGTTTAAAGCCTGCAGTCCTCACTGGTGCCCATGGCAGGAGCTTTGTGTAGTGAGCCCAGTGACCATTTCCCAAAGGTACAAATAACCCAGCCCAGCACCAGCTCAGGACAGTTTGTAGACAGGGGCACACTGCTCACAAAACACCAACAAAGGGGGAATTGGGAAGAGAATGAAGATGTTTACTGCAGTGAAAGTTTCCACAGCGGCTGTAGGGAATAGTTTGGTTGTGAGAAATACTGGCTGCATTGATGGAGTTCTGGGTTCCCGTGGGCTATGACCAAATGCTGATGAAACCTCAGCTGGATGGTCCCTCTGACAGGACTGCAGTCAGCTCCTGGGGGCCTGGATAGGCTGAGATAAATGGTCGCAGTGAGTGGTGAGTTGCTTCTGAAATAGGGTGGGTGGCGGAGATCTTGTGGTTTTCCACTCACAGCCATTTGTCCTAGTGACACCAGTGCCTTCCTGTGACTCTGTCTCCAAGGTCCAGCCGCCACAGCTCTGTCCCCAGTTCCAGAAGAGAATGTGAACAATGGGACATTGCCTGACTTCAATGGAAGGCTCAGGAACAAGGCGTAATGGCCCCAGTTGAACTCTGGGTCGGGCAGGCGGCCTCCCCTGCATTGCGCCTATAAAGGTGTAGGTCTGACACCATCCTGCCTCCATGAAACTCCGCCAGTGCTGATGAAGAAAGGCTGAGAGATGCAGGAGAAGGCAGGTCCCTGAATCAAGCTGGACCTGGCTTGGAAGTTTTTCCATCACACGGACTGATCATTCGGTTCCTTACCCGGTGCCCTGGGCTGCAAGTTTCTGCTGCTTCACTGCTAGGGGAAGGTGGACAAGAGCCAGTACTTACTCAGGCCTTCCAGAATGACGCCCACCGCTCTGGGAGATTTGAAGATTTTGTTACTTCACAACAGTACAGTGTGACCTCTGTCCCTCAGTCAAAGCTGAGAGTAACAGAGCTTGGAGTGCCCCGTCCACAGTCTAGCAGCTGCAGCCCCGAGTTTTAAAGGAAGGACTTCATTGGCAACCCTTTAGGTCAGTGAGGCCACTATCCAGCCCAAACTGGAGGCTCTCTGGCACGCTGAGGCTAGGGAGCCTGGGGAAATTTGGCATTGAGTCTTTTTTAGCTCTGGCTATTGGTTTACGCTGAGGATTGGAAGGGCTGATCTATCTGGGGGTGGCTTTTCCCATCTAGTTCCCGGTGGTGCCTTGGGAGGACCTGTGGACTCAGTGGCCAAAAAGACCTTCCAGTTTTTCTGAGATCTGCATGCTCACATTGGAGCTCGAACTCTCCAGGATTGGTTCACCAGGCACCCGCTGCTCCTGGGGTGGTAGAAGCCCCCTTTCGTAGCATCTCTCCTCTTCTTTAAGGCCTCTTTGGGAGCTTGGCAGTGCTTGTGCTAGCTCTCCCTGAACTTATTTGATTTTCTAGGACTCATGCAAACTGCGAAGATTTGAGTCTGTCCACAACACGTGGAGGAAGAAAGCTTGGTGGGGGGGGGGGGGGGGGCCCACCGTAAGCAGTCAGGGTTGAGCCAGGAACTTCCATGGTTCCTATGTCATGTCCCATCAAATCCTGAGCATCCGCTTAGGGGCATGCCTGGTACTGTCTGAGCTTGTCAGCGACCATCTTGATATTCTCCCTCCCGATTCCCTCAGCCCCAGTGCACATGGAGACACGAACATGCGTGCAGAGCCGCTCCTTTATAATCTCAAGAGGCCCCTGAAGACCAGTGCGCTATTCGGGGAACAATGACTGAATGCATGGAAGGCTGGCTTTGGAAAGTGACACTTATTTGTAGCTCACATATCTATCTACATCACTGGCCAGATTAGGTCGGCAAAGCCGTGTCACATTACCACCAACAGTCCTTGAGTGCTCTTGCCATATCCTGGAAATCAGTAGACGTGCTTTGTGGCTTCTAGTTTTTCCCCTTCTTGTCCCAGAAGCACATGTCTAGCTTGGCCAGGTAGGAATTAGGCCTCTCCTCCACCTGCCTTTGGAGAGAGCTGCTTTCCTCATCACTTGCTATGCAGTTTCCTCTGAGAGGGTCATGATCCTAGAGGGCTCCCTGGTGATGAAAGAGTGGCTCCAGCCTGAGATAGGCTTAGCTCAAGTGTCATGGAAGGGGCACAGCCCAGACACCTCCACCTCTAGTCTGCGTTCTTCCTACCAGCAGGAGATTAAAAACTAACAGGCACCTCACATTTAGGCAATACTTTGAAGCTGACAAAGAATATTCTACATTTTATAGGATCCTTTCATTGCACTCACGCCATGTTTATCATTATTCTTATCATCAAAGGCCAGCAAGTCGACGGAGTAGATGCTTGGCAGGTCTTGCAAACGCAGCCTCAGAGTCCAAACCCTGGGATGTTTCTTCATTTTGTTTTCTTGAGACAAGGTCCCGATAGGAGCTCCTGACAAGCTATAAATCTCTCAATGCAACTTGATACGTAGACCAGGCTGGTCTTGAAATCACAGAGCTCTGCCTGCCTCTGCCTCCCTAGTGCTGTAATTAAAGGTATGGGCTATCATGCCCAGCCAAATCTTGGGTTTTGTTTTACAAAATAACATGATAGTAATTTCTTTTGACCAAGAGTATCCAGTTTCCAGGAGAAACACTCAACTTGCAAACTCAAATTTGACACAATGGTAGAACACACCAACAGTGCTCTCAAGCCGTGCATTTAAATAACTTAACATATTGATTCATCGTCTTAGTCACCATCCTACTGCTGCGAAGAGACACGGTGACCAAGCATCTCTTGTGAAAGAAAGCCTTTAAGTGGGGCTGGCTTACAGTTTCAGAGGTTACTCCATTATCATCATGGCAGGGAGCATGGTGGAGCACATGGCACTGGAGCAGTACCCAGGCTGAGAGAGAGAATGACCCTGGGCTTGGCTTGGGCTTTTGAAACCTCAAAGCCCACCTCTACTGACACACTTCCTCCATCAAGGCCACACCTACTCCAACAAGGCTACGCCTCCTAATTTTTCTAATCCTTTCAAATAGTGCCACTCCCTGGTGACTGTGCATTCAAATAGAGTCTGCATTATTATGCAAACTACCACATGTATGAAATATTCAAAGCTATAAATCTCCTCAATGCAAGTTATTTCGAGACACCATGGAAGTTTATCATTACACAGCCAACCCAATGACACTGAGATCATAGCCAAGGCAAGAAGAAACTAATGATGTGCATTTTGGGTTTGTTGGTGGTGATGTGTTGAAACAAGGTCTCACTGTGAGGTATAGGGTAGCCAAAAACTCAAAAATTCTCCTGCCCCAGACTTCTATGGGCTGGAATTACAGGTGTGCTCCCAACACATCTTATAGTCAGACATTCAATTTTTCTAATTCTGGAGTCCAGTGAGGGAGCCTGAGAGGCAGAAGAAAGAATATGTTGTTATTGTTTCTTTTTAACATGAGAGAAACACTTGACATCCCGTCTCATGTTTGATTCCTTCACATTCTCCCTCATCCCAATCAGCAGAATATTTTGAAACAGGCTGGAAAGTTCCATTACTCAATTTTTAAAAATCACTGATTTGTGTAAGCTTGCTTGGCATCAGCCTTCATGCAGTGATTGTGCAGCTGACGCGCCCAAAGGCTTGCTGTGCGCCAGGCCTATGTAGGCATTTGCATATACTGTCACGGTATCATGCCCTTTCTTGGTCACCACACAGTGCAGGGTAAATATCCGCATCCCGTTTCACGGCTGAAACCGGTTTTAGTGGCTGCAGTCCCAGCTACTGCACACCCACCTAACCCCTTCACGTCCTGCTTTGCAGCCAGGCTGCTGCCTCTTCCGGGTTCATCCAGTTCAAAGGCTGGCGTCGGGAGACGTTAGTCCCTGAGAGGTGACCCGGGGATGTCTCAGGACCTGCACGGTGCTCCCTCCACCGGTAAGCCCCATTCCCATGGGGAGCTTTCTCCCCAGGAGGCCCCATCATACAACGTTATCAACCGTGGCTCCTCCTCAGTCCTACCCATTCTTGATCTTCCCCACCAAGGTCAGTCATAAAATTCCCCACATTTTATGGAAGCACTTCCCTTCTGGATAATCCTGATGACTTGTTCCTGGACAGGTGCCCTAG